AATTTGAATCTCCTAAAGTCTTTGAAATCATTTCATACGCATTCCATTCCCATGCACCTCATTACAGGTACCATTACAGGTTTCTTATCTTCTTCGCTGTTTATTTCAGCATATCATGTCTTCTGAAACATCCACTGATCAAGCCATCAAGGCTCTTCAGGCTCAGAATGCTCAATTTCAGGAGATGTTCTTGAATTTGGCCAAAGGGCAGCAAGATTTGAAGTCTCTTATCTTGAAGGAGAAGAAGAAGAAGAAGAAGAAAGTGGTCCTCTTGAATATGGGTCGCAGATTCGAGAATAATTTGCAACAGGAAACTGATTTGTCCCATTCATCTAGAGGGGGAGAGAATCAAGAGGAAAGAAAGAGGCCTAGTCCTGTGGTCTCTGATAATGACACTGACTTTGATGAAGACCAGTATCCTCCTGCTGAGGATAGATATAAGCAACTTGAAGACCGATTGAGTGCAATGGAGATCCAGAAGATACCTGGGTTAGACTTCGGAGATTTGGGTCTGGCATCTGGGGTGGTGATCCCCCACAAGTTTAAAGCTCCTGTCTTTGCTAAGTACGATGGGGTATCCTTCCCGAAGCTACACCTCCGCTCGTATGTCAAAAAGATTCAACCCTATACTGCTGATAGGAACCTGTGGGTTCATTTATTTCAAGATAGTCTGTCAGGGACTCAACTTGAATGGTTCTATCAACTGGAAGGAGCTAATGTCCACAACTGGGAGGACCTTGCTGCCGCTTTTTACAAGCAATACCAGTATAATGCCGACCTTGCTCCCACACGTACCCAACTTCAAGGTATGTCTATGGGTACAGGCGAAGGCTTTAAGGACTACGCTCTGAAGTAGAGAGATCTTGCTGGAAGAGTCCACCCCCCTCTGTCTGATAGGGAGTTGGTGGATATGTTTCTTGGGACTTTGTCTGGTCCATATTTCAATCATTTGATCGGAAGTTCATCGTCTGGGTTCACTGAATTAATTTTGACTGGGGAGAGAGTGGAGGCTGGTATCAAAAGTGGCAAGATACAGAAAGGTGCTTCATCAAGTACAGAGAAGAAGCCCTTTAGGAAAGAAGCTAGTGCAGTTTACAGCTCGAGGAGCCAAAACCGACCCGAACGCCACCAAGCAGTTAATGTGGTGGTAATATCAAGACCAACTGTTACCCCACAATGCAACAATCAACAAAGAGTAGAGAGACCGCAAAGACAGTATACTCGGCTCAGTATGACTTTATCTCAAATTCTTCTGCAATTGTTGAAGACCAACTTGATTACTCTGAGGGAAGCTCCAAAGAATCCCAGTACTACATCACCGCTGTATAATCCAAACGCCCGCTGTGCTTATTACTCCGATAGCCCAGGGCATGATACGAATAACTGCTGGGCCTTGAGGAATAAGATGCAAGATTTGATTGAAGCTCAGGAAATTGAGTTTGGCGCGCCGGAAAAGCCTAATGTCATGACTGCTCCTATGCCCAAGCATGGAGTAAATGTTGTGGATGATGATTCATTCGTAACCTCTGTGGAAGACGTTTCTACTCCATTGATGACAGTAAAGAAGAACTTATTATCAGCCGGTTTATTTCCGGGCTATGGCGAAGGTTGCCACATATGTTCAATCCTGCCTACTGGTTGCCATTTATTGAAGTCAGGTGTTCAACGCCTAATGGACAACAAAGAGATCATGTTCGAGAAAACTTTGGTTCCATTGATTCCTGTTGAAGATGTTTCCATAATAACCATTTCCGCCAAATCTTACAAGGCTTCCTCGAGAAAGCCTGTTAGGATTACATCCATTCCGAGAGTTGCTCCATTGATCATTACTATTCCTGGTCCTATCCCTTACACTTCGGATAAAGCTGTCCCGTGGCACTATGGGGCCGATGTGTATTATCATGGGATCAAACAAGACTTGAAGGTTGAAGAGGCTGATACTGATGTCAGCAACATTGTCGGGTCTAGCAAGGTCACCCGAAGCAGAAGACTTTTCTCTCCTGAGATTTCCCCACCAACTATTCAGAAGCCTGTTGTTATTCCACCTGCCAGTACATCTGATACTATCCTTGTTCATGTTCCAATCATTACCCGTGTCACCGAGTCATCTGACGCCCGGGGCAAAGAGATCACACGTGAGCCTGCCCAGATGGAGGCACCTAAGAAGATTATTGTAGAAACCTCTAGACAGGAGATAGAGGAAAATTTGAAGATTATCAAGAAAAGTGACTACAATGTAGTTGAACAGCTGGGGCAGACCCCGTCGAAGATCTCCATGCTATCTTTATTGTTGTGCTCAGAAGCCCATGCAAAGGCTTTAATTGCTTTCCTTAAAATTGCGCATGTGCCGCAAGAAACATCTTCTGATCAATTCAAAGACTGTGTGGCTAGTTTGACCGCTGACAACGGGTTGGGTTTCTCCGACGCAGATTTGACTGCCAAAGGAAATAATCACAATGACGTCCTGCATGTTTCGATTGAGTGCAGGGGCACTACTCTGGCCCACGTGCTGGTGGATACTGGGTCCTCGTTAAATGTTTTACCCAAGAAAGCGTTAGACCGGTTGGACTGTGAAGGGTTGGTTCGGAAGCTAAGTAATTTTATGGTTAGAGCCTTTGATGGGTCCAAAAGGATGGTACATGGGGAGGTGGATGTCCCTGTTAAAGTTGGTTCCCATACTTTCGCATCCACATTTATGTAATGGACATTCGACCATCTTATTCTTGTTTACTGGGTCGCACGTGGATTCATAAAGCTGGGGCAGTGACTTCCACGCTCTATCAGATGTTAAAATATCCAGTGAAGGGGAAAATTGTTACAGTACAAGGAGAGGAGGAGTATACGGTGAGCCACCTTAACTCTTTTCGGTATGTGGAGATGGACTTTAACAGGGACTTTGAAAACCCCGTGTCAGAACTTTGAAGAAGTACCCCAGACTCTGGCGTCGACTGAAACCGTTGCTGAAGATCCTCCAATGAAGATGGCTTCCCTCAAGGATGCCCGGGCTGTTATTGAAAAAGGTGGGTGTGCAAATTGGGGCCAACTCCCTGACTTCGCATACAAGACTGACAAGTTTGGTTTGGGTTTTACTGCAGAACCTCAAAGGGCTGTTTGGCATGCGCGGATTGGAAGACCTCCCCTGCGTATCAGTAATCCGAAAGTGAACACAATTGAAGATGATGATGAAGAGTCTGAGTTTGACAATTGGATTTACCCAACTACCGACGGTGGATTAAGCAATTGGAAGACGAAGGACTTCGTGCCCATTTCTTTTATTACACAGTAATAGACTTTTGTTTTGAGTTTTGTAACAGACAATTTAAAACTTTTACGGCCCAGTGCCTTTCCCGAGACACCGTGGCTTTGTTTGTGAGGGCTTAACATTTGTCATTTCCATATATCATCAATAAAGCATTGGACGTTTTCTTGCATTACAAATTTTGCGCTCCTTGTTTTTCTTTTCTATCTTGCACTTTATCAAAAACAGCTATTGTCTTACACACACTCACATATCATAATACATGTCCACATCCACTCTGGATCCCACTGATAACGACTCTTCTACTGCCAGTTATGACTTCGAAAGTCCAATCAACCAAGCCGAGGACGAAGGCGAGGATGATTGTGAAGTACCTGGGGAACTTGCTAGATTGTTACTACAGGAAGAGAGGGTCATACAGCCCCATGAAGAGCCAGTGGAATCAGTGAATCTGGGTACAGAGGAAGACAAGAAAGAGGTTAAGATTGGTGCAAATATGGAGTCTAGTGTTAAGTAACAGTTGATACAGATGCTACGTGACTATGTTAAGATCTTTGATTGGTATTATGAAGATATGCCTGGGTTAGATACCGACATTGTGGTTCACCGCTTTCCAACCAAAGAAGACTGTCCTCCAGTGAAACAGAAAGTTCGCCGCATCACTACAAGAAAATTGGCAGATTGCGACAGGTATTTTTGTAGATTACGACGGTTAAAACCGTCGCAATTTACTTTCCACGACGGTTGCTTTACCGTCGCAGAAGTGTGTGTCCCCAACCTATTTCGCGACGGTTACAAAAACTGTCGTTCAAGTTTACGACGGGTTGATACCGTCGTGACTATCTTTTGAGTTTCTTTTAATTATTGATGGCGACGGTTCGATACTGTCGTGAATATCTTTTGAAATTGATTAAATTGTTTATGGCGACGGTTCGATACCGTCATGACTTTTGTTGATTATTTTTAATTGTTGATTACGACGGTTCGGTACTGTCGCCATGACTTTTGTTTATGTCTTGATTTTTTTTTTATTTTTCTATTATATATATTTTTTATTTAAATTATTATCTATGTAAAAAATTTTAAATATAGTTTTTTTTTGTGTTATTTTTTTCTTTAAATTATTTCTTCTTTAATATATTTATTTATAGTATTATTTTTTGTTTTATTTTCTATCACTTTGTAATATAGTAAAAATAATTTCAATAAAAAATATTTAACATCAAATAAGCATTATAATATCCAAAAAAATGTGTGTTCCATAATTATGTAAAATGCGAGTTCCATAATCATGTCAAGTAGCACAAAAAACCCAAAATATATCAATTCCTAATCTTATAATAATAAGTATCATTATGCCAAAAATACATGAGAAAGTTCACAATCTAATTATCTCGATCATAGCAAAGTCTAATTTGTCCCCCCTGAAGTTCCATTATCTCCAATACGGTAGCTAGACTCAGATGAACGTCTACCATCAGCGGGTGATTCCAATCCCTAAAAAAAGGTATTAAAATAATAATCTTTAAAATAATACTCATAAAATTTAACTTTAAATGCGTCAAAATAATATACCTGTCTTATTGAAATCACAAATACAGTAATATCATAGCATACCGAGTTGCTAAATTAAGATTCTCTCCTATTTTAATTAAGATTCCACTTGACAAGATCACCAAAAAAGCCCCCGGAACTTGATTTCAGAAACTGGTATACTGGAGCAGTAAATGGTCCATTTACATCAACCTGTTTTACAAAACTTCATTACCTTGTCATCATGATAAAAATTTACATTCAGAAGATCAATTGTATAATCAACGTTAGTACGAATTTCTCCTCGAATTTGAATTTCCTTCAGCCCCAAAACCATATTTGCAATTGCTAAAGCCCTCGATTCTCCAAAGGCAAAAACATGTCCTGTGTTAAAACTTATGATATTAGCTGCTAAAAAAATATATATCTATACATTAAAATATCAACATGATAGCCTAGAATCTGCAATTTCTCGATCAAAGTTACTGCATACCAAATTGAGAATCTGAAAATTCATGGATTCCTCCTCCAGACTGCAAACATATAATTGCCAAAATTTAGTGCCTCGCCAATCAAATTAAAAGTACTAACAAAGAGATAGAAGATTTACCTTAACAGAGAAGTAAGCCCAAACATTTGGTTTGCTTTTAAAGCTGAGCTCCTGTAAAAATATTTTAATTCAGTATATATTATGCGATGAATGAATTAAAGATGAAATTTCTGTTGGATATAGCAGTTAACCTGCACTTTCCCGCCTGTAGGCTTAAAACCATCATCGGGGTCCTCACTAATCACTCGCACAGCCACACAATGACCCTTTGGCTTTGTAGACTGTGCTTTGTCAAAATCAAAAGGGGTAGCTAAAACTGATGTTTTCCTCCAAGCATCATTCCCTCCACCATGTTCCATCCCATAGAAACGCCTAATCTCTGTTAAGTATGAGTGTGAGACTCGTGAAATATATGTGCGAAAGCAATAATAGTAAAAATATTATATCTGAAGCTATACCGGGAATTTGCCAGAGAGGGATACCCATCCCAACGGCAACTTGTGCTGCTGGCAGATTTATCTCAGCTATCCATTCAGTAACAGGATGCTCAACCTATATATCAATAAATGCAAAACAACATCAGGAAATATTAGAAACATGGCAACAAAATACTAAGATAAAGTTCTTATGTCAAGGTCAGAAGGAGAAGCAATCAAGCCATAAGAGAAAAACAAATTAATTATGGTGTGCCTAAAATCAAGGTTATAGGACAACACCTGTAGACGGGGGTTCAGCTCTAAAAAGTAGTACTCGCCAGTTTCCATGCTATAAAGATACTCAACTGTAGCTGCCCCAACATAATTTACAGATATAGCTAATCTTCTAGCCGCTTGTTCAAGTTCTTTCACCGTTTCTGGGGGTGCTACAGTAATCGGACCCTCCTCAATAATCTGTTCCAGATGATTGATTATGTCATTACCGAGATTCATTCCATCGTGACAATTTGGTGTAGTAACTAGTAACAGAAAATTTTCATACCTTTTGATGCCTTCGTTGAACACTGCAATCACGGCTGTGTAAAGCTGCAACATTTCCGTACTGATCACAAATCAGTTGGACTTCAAGATGCCGGCTCTATTTAGAAGCAAGAGAGATCGTCAGCGTATGATCAAAACTCCAAAAATCAAGCTCACTCAGATCAAAGTTCAGTGGTTTATCTAACCTGGGAAGCAACTTTCATTATAAATATAGGTGATCCCGGAACTTCACCTTGAACTTGCTTGAACAATGCCCTTACCTCATCCTCATTATGAACCTAAAATATCCACATGCATGTTAGTTTCTTAACTTTTACCAAACAAAACACAAAAATATGATTGGCACAAGATTATCAGCATTGATCTATGTAAGCACCGATGCTTCAGATTTAACGTGTGCCCGATTTCCGATCACTTTCATGTTCTCAAATTATTACTGGTGTCAACATGTCAGTGTCAATGTCGTATGTTTGTGTCAGTGCTTCATAGGTAGATACTATACAATTTTCTACATGTTACAGAGTTGACCATAAGGAAGCAAACCTTTCTTATGCCTTTACCACCACCACCCCAAGACGCCTTGATCATTGCAGGGTATCCAACAACTTGACAACTTGCAATTGCTTCTTCTGTTGTATAAACACATGCTGCTCGGTAGATTTCATCAGGAATAGTAATCAAGGAGCTTTCAGGAGGAATTTTCACCTGTGGAAAAATTACAAAGTCATAAGTCGGGTAACCCATACAAATGAAGTACACTACAATGGGAGAAAAACTTTACATGTGAACCACTCCATGGAAGGGTTGGCACATTGGCTGCTTGAGCGATCAACGATGAACCAATTTTATCTCCCAATGCCCCCATAGATACTGCAGGAGGCCCAAGAAATACAATTCCTTTTTCTTTTAATGCATACTGCAGGAGCCCCCATAGGTCTGTTTAAATTTCATTCATAAAGAAACAACATTAGGTTCTTATAACTGTTTATTTTGACGATTTCATGATGAGTAGTCTTGTACATCAAAACTCTAAAGCTAGATAAACACTAATGATAGTTGAAACAAGAAAACAACACATTTATGAACTTATTTTTGGAGAATCTAAACTAGTTAAATATTAATATATACTCAAACAATCCATTATGTGCAGACTTTATACAGAATTAAGCTAACAAAGTAATGTTTAGTTTTTGCTCAGAAACTGTAATTTCTTGCTGTAATTCTTACTCTTTGAGAATATCCTTGAGTACAGTGCTCTTGCCAGCTCCCATACCTCCCCCCATTAGAAGAAGGACCGGGCTCCTATCACTGTGAGCCACAGGAGCCATTACCTCTGTACATTGAGAGTCATCGTTTACTGCAATACCCATCGCTTTCATCTCTTCCACTAATGTATTAAAAACACTAGCCACCTTCAGACTCTTGGCAACTCTCTCGAACCTTTGATCCCTGTGCAAAGAATACTATTCACCTTTAGAAAAAAATAACAATTCTTTGGAACATAATAATGATTCTCATCTCATTTTAAAATATATTATACTAGGTGTTCATAAAGAATGTTAGAAATACAAACCTAGTAGCAACCATAACTATGTTCTTTAGCTTCTTTTTTGGCTCAGAAATGTCCGAGCTCAAAACCTGCAAAGCCAAAAAAAATCAGTTTTAGAGAGTGTATTGCTACTAACACCTCTGATATTTTGTTAATAACTAGATAACCCTGATACCTGACTTATCAATATGTCACAATGGTTCCAATGAAATCCAAAGTAACTAAGAATGCATCTCTCAAACTCTTCCACCAACTTGACATAAAGTGAATCAGCATCTGGTTCATTCTCAAAATAGGCATATATATCATCTTCAAACCCTTCATATTTGCTTATGTATTCAGAAGCCAATCTACATATATCAGGACCGATTCTCCTATCCTTGAACCCCATTTGCCTAGCTGTAACAAATCAAAGAAAATGACTTATAGATTCATTCCAATTTCCAAATGATAAAATAATAACGAATCCATCAATGTATGTAATTGAATAGAATACGTATTTTTTTGTATACCTACGTAATGAGAGAATCTTTCAAGCTTTGGGGGGTGACCTGCACGCGATAATCTTAAACGCGGAATGATCTTTTGATCTCGAATCTTTTTGAGATGATAACACAATGCTATGAAAAATATCAACCCAATAGATGAGATTACCAAGATCTGTGTAAAGCTGGGTTTAGCATCATAATCTGAATCAACATTGGATTGTGTGAGGAATATACATTATATATAATACCGTTATTGACATTGCTATAGGAATTTATGAAAAACAAATGGATAAATTTATATAGATGCTGATGAAACTTGACTTGTTCTTAACAAATGCATTATTACCTGTCTGTATGTCATCCATAAATCAAAAGCCAATGACCACAAAAGGTGTAATGAAGGATATATAATTTTGTCTCTTTTGCCTTTGTTTTTTTTAACTTTGAATCTGTAATCAAAATGGATTCAATGCAGTCACATTAACCACACATTTATCCATAATCAGATTGTATTAATGCATATTCCTTGACAATCTAAACAATGTTACATAAAATGAGGAAACAATGTTGAAACAACCAACCAAAGTTTGATTTGATCCTGGCCATGAATGTGCATTTGCCAACTTCCCAAAAGTTTGATTGAACATGGTAAACCCAGCTCCATTTTCATTTGATTCACCTTTCGGACTTAGCTGTAGGCTGTGAGATGTAGAAATAGGACTGAACTTAAACCCCAGGTTCCGTTCACCAACTTTGTCAGATGAGTCTAACAAAGCACCAGCTCCAACTGCACTGTTACCATGCTTGGGCGTTTCAACCTTAATTAAAAATATAATACAGAATATCACTTCAATCAAATGCAATTCATGAAGAAGAGAAAAAAAGGTCTTTATATTTAAGCAAGCACGTGTTATTATGAAGAAACACGAAATGAACCTCTTGCCCAAAGGCCAAAAACTTAGTTTCTTAATATATTATTACTCCAAAACATAAATATACAAAATTGAAATGAATGAATACAAAATTTATACTAGTTTCTAGCATTCACGTAAGCTTCACCCAATTTACCTTAACATTGAAGTTTTCATTTACAGTTTCCCGTTCCGCAGACTTGAATTCCCATCCATCGTCCTCGTCGTCGTCCTCATCCTGATTCAAATCGTTTACACTCGATTTCTTCGGACTGGTAGAGCCGACATTGGATTTCAAAGCTGATCCGTTTTGCTGATGATACAAATTGGAAATCAAATCACTAATTCCAACGGAACCATTCGAATCGGATCCCTTTTTCACAACAGCACCACCACCGTTGGAGAAAAAATCATTGGAACTGGAATCAGAAACAGGTTCATCATCTTCTTCCTCGCCGAAGATTGAAAGCGGAATAGCTCCGCGAGCTTTGTTTGCGGTTTTCCCGAGGGGATCCGGGGAAACTGTAAATGGATCAGAGGGTTTTGAAACGGTGGTGCCATTGATGTGATTGGAATGGTTGACGAAGTTGCCCCAACCGGAGGTGGAAGGGAGTGGTTGATTGGGAACGGAAGCGAACTTGAAGTCGCCGAAGTTTAAATTCTCCAATCCTGAAAACAGAACAATAACAACAATTACTTTGATGTGAATCAATTTTCATGAGTTGAAAAAACAAAGCAGAACCTGAAGATTGTTGGTTTTGACGTAGGACCAAACACGCATGAAACAGGTTAATCGAGAAGTCTGAGATTGACCGACGAAGTCTCTGAGAGTGGGAGGAAGGTTAACGAGATCGATCAAGTTTGTGAGCTTTTTAGGGTTATCAGTAACGGCTTTCTTCATTCGCTGAGGAAGCATTCTTCACTTCAATACACGATTTGTAATGGCCGCGAGATGGGTTTATCAAAATTCTAACTTCAGAGGAAATGTGAAACTCAATTTGTGTTTAGTTAGGATTAGGTATAAATTTAACAATAACATTGTGTTTCAACTATATATGTGAATATTATGTCAAGCTCTATGTATATACTTTAGCTCATGATAAATGATTATTTAGGTATAAACTTAAAATCATTTTTCAACATCAATTAAATCCACATATCATGTTATAAAAGTCATGTCTTTCGAGGCATAACCATAAGTTACCCTTGGTCTAGTCCTATCAGACCGTCTCGACATCTCATAGATCCTCCTCAAGCATAATACAAATATAACAAGCATTGAGAAAAAGATGAAAGATTAAATTTATTTGATTGATTAAATTGAACATAACACCATTGTCGTATCAAATTCATAGAATATATAATAATGCATAAACTTAACCTTAACAAGAGAGAACTTAAATATACATAACAATTATAATTAGATAAAATATATAAGTTAGCAAGAGATTTTTAAAGGTTTTGGGTGCGACGGTTGTTTTACCGTCGTGAAATGAATTTTAGGATGGATAATTTTACCGTCGTGAAAGGTTTAAGGGTGCGACGGGTGCTTTACCGTCGTGATATGCCTTTTAGGACGGTTAATTTTACCGTCGTGACTAGTTGTTGGTGAAAAATCAATGTTAAAAGTGTTAAATGGGGGCCGACGGTTGTTTTACCGTCGTAATAATAATATTATGATGGTTAAATATACCGTCGCAAAATAAATATTAGGGACGGTTGGTGTCAACTGTCGTAAACACTGTCTCTATATGTCAATTACGACAGTTATCACATAACTGTCGCAATTTTTGTGTCGTTAAACACTAATTTTCTTGTAGTGCATGCGCCCAGAGATGTCTGATAAAATCAAAGCTGAGGTTATGAAACAATTTGACGCCGGTTTTCTAGCAGTTACTTCTTACCCGCAGTGGGTTGCCAACGTGGTTCCGGCGCTGAAGAAAGATGGTAAAGTTCGAATGTGTGTTGACTATAGGGATCTGAACAGGGCAAGCCCCAAGGATGATTTCCCTCTGCCTCACATTGATGTTTTGGTCGACAACACCGCACATCATAAGGTCTTCTCATTTATGGATGGTTTCTCCGGTTACAATCAGATTAAGATGGCTCCTGAGGATATGGAAAAGACAACCTTTGTTACACAGTGGGGTACCTTTTACTACAAAGTCATGCCGTTCGGATTGAAGAATGCTAGGGCAACGTATCAGCGCACTATGGTCGCTTTGTTTCACGACATGATTCATCATGAGATTGAGGTATACGTTGACGACATGATTGCAAGGTCCCAAACTGAAGAAGAACACCTCGAACATCTCGAGAATCTATTTGACAGGTTGAAGTTGTACAAGCTGAGGTTAAACCCGAACAAGTGCACCTTCGGGGTAAGGTATAGTAAGCTGCTGGGTTTCGTCGTTAGTGATAAAGGTATTCAAGTGGATCCTGCAAAAGTAAAGGCTATACATGAAATGCCAACTCCCCGAATGGAAAAAGAAGTCAGAGGCTTTTTGGGATGTCTGAACTACATTGCCCGATTCATTCCACACCTAACTGCTACTTGTGAACCAATCTTCAAGCTGTTGAAGAAAAATCAAGTGGTAAGATGGAATGATGAATGTCAAGCCGCTTTCGAAAGGATCAAGGAATACCTACAAGAGTCACCTATTCTGATGCCTCCAGTAGAAGGGAGACCTTTGATCTTATACTTGACAATACTCGACAATTCGATGGGGTGCGTGCTGGGGCAGCATGACGAGTCTTGCCGAAAAGAGCATGTTACTTACTACCTTAGCAAAAAGTTTACCGACTGTGGGACCCGATACTCACTGCTTGAGAAAACTTGCTGCACTTTGGCATAGGTTGCTCGCCGGCTGAGACAGTATATGCTGACTCACACTACTCTATTGATATCAAAAATGGATCCAATCAAGTATATCTTCGAAAATCCTTCCTTGTCCGGAAGAATAGCAAGATGGCATATGATCTTGACTGAGTATGACATCCAATACACAACCCAAAAGACAATCAAGGGAAGTGTGTTGGCAGATCATTTGGCACATCAGGCCGTGGATGATTACCAGTCTATGAACTTCGAGTTTCCAGATGAGAGCATCATGTTGGTGACTGACTGTGAAATACCTGGACCGTATGAAGGACCCGAGGAGGGATCCCGATAATCTATGTATTTCAATGGAGCTTCAAACGCTTTTGGTAATGGCATTGGCGCCGTGATCATATCTCCTGAAGGCTGTCATACTCTGTTCACCGCCTGATTATGTTTTAACTGCACGAACAATATGGCAGAGTATGAAGCGTGCATCACGGGCCTTCGAGCAGCTATTGACCTGAGGATTAAGTTTCTGAGTGTGTTCGGAGATTCCACTCTCGTGATCAGTCAGATCAAAGGCGAGTGGGATACGAAGCACCCAAATCTCATTCCTTACAAAGAGTATGTATTGACGTTGCTTCCACACTTCGAGGAGATAACCTTTGAATACTTCCCAAGAGCGGAGAATCAGTTAGCGGACGCGCTAGCTACCATGTCTTCTATGTTCAAGGTCAGGCGGGACAATGAGGCTCCCCAGATTACCATTGAGAGGTTGGACGAACCCGCACATTGTTATGATATTGAGATTGAAGAAGTAGCAGATAAACCCTGGTTTCATGAGGTAAATAGGTATCTTGAGGCTCAAGAATACCCAGAGGGTGCATCTGTTAATGATAAGAAGTTTCTGAGGCGGTTCGCTACGAAGTTCTTCATCAGCAATGGTATCCTTTACAAGCGTAACCATGACTCAACCTTACTGCGTTGTGTGGATAAGAACGAGGCAGAAATAATTATGGCAGAGTTATATGAAGGCACTTTCGGGACTTATTCCAGTGGACATACCATGGCAAAGAAGATCCTATGGGAAGGATATTATTGGTTTACCATGGAAGCCGACTGTTATCAGCATTCTCGGATTTGTCATAAGTGCCAAGTCTATGCTGATAAGGTGCACATACCTCCAGTTCCTCTGAACGTCTTGACAGCTCCTTGGCCTTTTGCAATGTGGGGCATCAATATGATTGGTGAGATCAGACCTACTGCGTCCAACGGGCATCGTTTCATTCTGGTAGAAATTGATTACTTTACAAAGTGGGTTGAAGCAGCTTCCTTTGCTACAATAACCAAGAACGTTGTGGCACGGTTTATTCGGCATAATCTGATCTGTCGATACGGTGTACCAGAGAGGATCATTACGGACAATGGTACAAATATCAACAATACGATGATCACCGAGCTCTACAAGCAGTTCAAGATACAGCATCACAACTCTTCTCCTTACCGGCCGAAGATGAATGGGGCTGTTGAAGCGGCTAATAAGAACATCAAGAAGATTGTGCAGAAGATGACGGTGACATACAAATATTGGCACGAGATGCTACCATTTGCTCTTCATGGGTACCGAACCTCAGCACGGACTTCAACATGGGCAACACCCTACTCTTTAGTTTATGGCATGGAAGCAGTCCTACCCATTGAGGTCCAGATACCCTCTCTTCGGATTATGAAGGATGAAGGTTTAAGCGAGGACGACTGGATCCAGACCCGACTTGATTAACTGAACTTAATCGATAAAAAGAGACTTACTGATATTTGTCATGGTCAGACGTATCAAAAGCGAATGATCAAGGCATTTAACAAGAAAGTTAGACGACAAGAGTATCAAGTTGGGGATCTGGTGATCAAGCGCATCATCCCGCCACAAGGTGATCCCAGGGGAAAATGGACCCCTACGTATGAAGGCCCATTTGTGGTTAAGAACATTTTCTCAGGAGGAGCTATGATTCTAACCACCATGGATGGTGACGACCTTCCTCACGCCGTCAATACAGACATAGTGAAAAGATACTACGCATAATCAAAGACTCGCTAGGTTGACTGGCCTAGGCAAAAATAAGGGCTTCCTGGTGAACAAAAAGGGTTCGGGCAAAAATAAGGGATGAAAATGAAAAAAAACTGTACACCCGGCAAGTCGAAAACCTGAAAAGGAGACTTGGGAAAAAAAGGGTATCCTGGTGGACTGAAAACCCGAAAGGGCGGTCCAGGAAAAAATTAGGGATTAAAGCGTAACACTATGTCTCATTGGATCATCTTGCAAACAGACTTCGGTATCAACTATCAAGCTTGGACGACACTAATCAATCTGATCCACCTTCAACCAAGTAGCAAAGTGATGAGATGCTCCAGGATATAAAGGCGATAGCAGAGTTGGAACCCAGTGGGATTATTCACATAGCTGTTTTTCTTTCTTTTACACAAACTGTATAAATTTTATTGTTCGGCGGTGTTCTCTTACTAGGACGTCAACCTCTTGTACAAAAAACGCCTATTTACAGGCCGACTTCAAAATCAATACAATTCATTTTCAAAAAGAAATTTCAAATTTTTTTCTTTTTCTGTTTTGTTTTGCAAGAACGTCCAATGTTTCATTTTGATATATGCATTTGACAATAATTACTGCTCATAAATACTTACATGTGAAACAAAAGACGATTACTCGTAATATCAGAAACAGGGGAAAACGAGAAATGTCCAGACCATACAGTTTCTCTATCCATCAGGTATAGGGATAAACCCATTTGGAGAAAAAGATTGAAGGTACATTCACTCCCCGCAGAGTAAGGAAAAGACAGTGATATTAGCGGTCCCGAACAGGATACCACTCTTCCCAACTGAGGCTCGTAATCGCGAATAAATCGGTAATATTCTCCCCAAGCAGAGTTTATCTATCATCAACACTAGAAAATTATCCCCAGTGGAGTTTAGAAAATTATCCCCAGTGGAGTTTGGAGAATTATCCCTAGTAGAGTCTGGAGGATTGTCCCCAGTAGAGTCTAAAAGATTATCCCCAGTGAAGTCGCCACTGGAAAATC